AAAAAAAAAATCGCCAAAGATGGCGGTGTCGAAAACGTGCTCGCGAACTCACTACATTTAATTCTTTTTTTATTTGTTTTTATTTTTATTATTAATATTTGTTTTTCGTATTTTATTTTTATTTCAAATTTGGTAAGGAATTTGGATTTCATGCTCAGGCAAATCTTGTTTAATTTATTTTGGTTCATAACATATCTTTTTTTCAGATTGTTTTGATTTTTTTTTATTTTTATTTTTTGGGTCTGCGTTCGACCCGAACGACCGAACGCATCCCTAAGGGGTCCCATATGTTCCGGCGTTCGGGTTCGTGCGTTCGGCTCGTCCCGAACGCCGGTTACCCTGTATATATATATATATATATATATACAGGGTTGCCAGGCCGAACGTACGGAGGCCCCTAAGCTGACCCCCGAACGTTCGGGTGTTCGGGTCCCCGTACGGGGCCCAAACCTGAAGGGGTTCAGACCACCACGCAAAAAAATATTTTGGCACCTAAATATTTTATTTTTTTTCTGAGTTTTGTTTTGTGAGTTCTTTGTGATGTAAGGTATGTCTCTCTTAATTTTGAAGCTATTCTGTGCAGCCCAGAAAAAACGAAAAATTGGCAAAGATGGTGGTGTCAAAACTTGCTTGCCCACTCACTAATTTGTTTTTTCTCTGTTTTCACTTTTTGTTTTTCTTTTATTTCGGGGCATGAAAAATATTATTATTTTTTCAAACTTTATTTGTAGATTCTCTATTATGTAAGATACACATACATAAATTTTCATGGCATTTGTCACAGCAAAACAAAAATGAAAAATCGCCAAAGATGGTGGTGTCAAAAACGTGCTCGCCCACTCAATAATTTCATTCTCGTTTTATTTTTCATAATTTTCATTATTATTATTTATTTTTAGTATTTGACTTTTATTTCAAATTTGGTAAAGAATTTGTATGTAACGTTAAGGCAACTGTTGTTTAGTTTATTCTTCTGCATAACATATATTTTTTTCAGATGGTTTGGAATTCATTGTTTTTTCTTTTTTTTTCTTTTTTGGGCCCGCGTTCGCCCGAACGGCCGAAAGCGTCGAGAGGGGGTGCCAAACATTTGGGCGTTCAGCCCGTCCCGAACGCCGGCAACCCTATAGAGATATATATATATATATATATATATATATATATATATATATATATATATATATATATATATATATCGTCAGAGAACTATTGACTAAGACCGTAAGCACAATAAGTAAGATGAGCGAAGAAAAGAAAAATGAAAGGACAGACAGGCAAAGCGACAGACAAATCAGAATGAAACAAAATAGTGTCCTCTTATTCTTTGTTTCACTGTAATCTTATTTCTTTTAGCGTTTTACAAAAAAAAAATACACTGAACAAGGGATAAAAAGAAAAATCAAAGACACATTGAAATCATTCAGTTTCTCAGTCTTCTTAACGCCTCCTCCACCGTGCCTCTAACGTAGAAGGCTCGCCACGTTGATGAAGTTGAGCGCGAGCCCCATCCCCGTATGCCATAACAGCCCACTTGCACGCTATGGGAAAGAGGCAGAGTGAAGGAAGGGGTGTTAAACACAAGGAAGAGAGGAGCAGAAAAGGAAAATTGATAGGCAGATGGAGAAAAAATAAAAAAGGTTGACATAAATATCTTGTTTCTTTTACTGCATTCTTCTTTCTTTCACAGTTTTGCAGTTTTTGTGAAGAGTCTACCACGTTCGTTTTTCATCGCACCTGCACTTCTTCATTTTTCATTCTCATTTTCACCCTTCGGACTTTTCCTTTGAGGGTGTTTGGGCGCAGGGTATAAACAAAGTAAAATGACACAAACTTATGCCCTTCTTTTATTGCAGTCTTCACTGTTTTGCAGTTTTAGTGAAGGGTTTCCCACCTTTGCACATTCTTGTACACTCTTTTCAGCGCACYTGCACATTTTTGTCAGGGTGCAAGATACGTCTAAGTAAGACCCTCACGACAAATAGGACAACTGTCATAAGGATGCGGGCGATGGTAGCAGCCCTCCCGCTGATCTACAGGACGAAAACCTTGCAAGTAAGCAACTTCGTCACAGCAGGAGTTAGGGCGGCTAGCATTAACCATACCTCTGAAACATGCACGACAGAGGGCATGCCGGTTGCAGGCCATGACGATTGTGGGGCGTTCACCATCACGGTTAAGTGCACATTCGCTATAGCGCCCACAGGCACAAATGGGACATACTGCATCTGGATGTAGAGGATGTTCACAATCCGGATACAGGTGGCATCCCTGCCGACAGCGGGCCCGAAACGGTTGTAGTGATGTCGACAAAGTCAATGCTTTCCAAAACGAAATGAAACTGTGTCAGTGATCTCACAAAGCATGAGGTCACAAGGTGTTAGTGCAGCATGTGGGGGAATGAAGACTAGAGCAGGCACGGTGACATACATGGAGGTAGGCACGGAGACACACACAGAAACATGCATGGAGACAAGTGCGGAGGCAGGCACAGAGACAGGTGAAGAGGCGGGAACGGAAGTACACGAGGTACCCATCGGTGCAACTCCGACGAAACAATCTATCATGTTTTGTTTTTTTTTTCGCTTTGTTTTTTTTGTTGTTTGTTCTTTTGTCTGCCTTGTTGCCTTTATGTCGCCGCCTCATTCTTCTGCCTAGTGCTGTTTGTCTGCCCGCCCGCCTCCCCCCTTGCCCTCCACCCTTTGTTTTTTGTTGCGGTGTGTCATCCAAGTACCATGTTCTGTTTTGACCTCAGCCTTGCCGTTTTGCTTGTCTTGTTGTACTTGTCTTACCGCTGGTCGGTTC